ATTAGCTTCTCCATAGTTATACAGTCCATATTTAATAGGCGATTCTTGCATATGGCCCAGAGATTCTCAATTGGGTTGATATCCGGAGAGTTCCCTGGCCATTCCAATGTCTCAATTTGATTCTCAGACATGAATTTCTTGACAATTTTGGACGTATGGCAAGGAGCTAAATCCTGTTGAAAAATCCCTGTTCCATCAGGGTATCGTTTCTTCAACTCTGGAACAACTTTTTTACCCAGAATAGTAATGTACTGCTCAGAACGCATCATACCGTCAATAGGCTGCAAAGGTCCAACCCCATTGTAACCGAAACAACCCCAAAACATCTTCTTTAAAAAACACGAAAAAAAANCATCTATGTGTAAATATTCCGTGAAAAAATACTGTGTGTGTAACATAAAAAGCTACAATTAATCTTTTTATGTTATTCCTTTTCTATAAATCCTTTTCTTAATGTATTACTCAAAACTAAACGCTTTCTCACACTTTTAAACTCACATCCTGTCTATTAATCTATTTTTGGCCCAAGTATGTATTAATTAAAAGTAAAGACATTTTTCCCGTTGCTCTTTGTGGGAATCACGCGACCTATTTAATAAACCAATTGTATTTATTAATGTTTCCCTTTTACCCTGAGATATAATAAAATAGAGGGAGATTCATTTGCCACTTTCCTTAGGATAAAAACTAAAGCACACAGATTTTGGTGTGCGATTTGAGCTCCGCTAAAGATAGAAAATGTTCTGAATATACAATGTGAAGCTCAATAAAAATATTTTTGCCTTCCAACTGCTGTTTGTGTGGCTCTGCACAAGACCATGACTGCTATCCTTTTTTTAACTTAAGTCAGTTACGAGTATTTAGATTTGAAATAAGGAAGTATAAACGAATAGAAATATTAATAATGAATTATTAAAGAAATAAAATGAACCATATCTATAAATGTGGATTTTTAATTTACAAGCATAAAACGCAAATTAAATTTATCAATAAATAAATTTAAAAGAAAAAAAAACTATTAAATTGTAATAGCTGAAAAGGGTTTTATATATCTTTTTTTTTATTCATTTCAATTAGCCACAAATGGTCAAATTAAGTAATTACCTTAGCGAATTAACTTCTGATGTAATGATTGCATTTTCACATACAATCTGCAATCTTGATTAGATCTACAGTCATCTATAAGTAAGCTAATGGGATAGCTGCAAGTAACAATATGTGGTTATCTCAATCCTGATTGGTTGTTAAAACATGGCATTTGTTTGCGTTAGTAACTGTTTGTTCTATGACTACATGATAAACTGACTTCATATTTTTGAGATCATATTTCTCCTCTTCTGTCCTTTCCTTTTAATTCTCTCAAAAGTTCTATTCAATTCACTATTTAATAAAACTTAAGTAATAAAAGTTTTAAGTTCAATTGCCTATTAAAACCGTGAATATTTATTAACATTTCATTCATAAGCAGTTCATCTACTCTTATTACATGGAGAATCTTTTTATTTAAATTATTTAAAAATGATATTTTTAAAGTGCAAAATGGTAAAAATGAAAAAAAGTAAAAATTATATTTTTAAAGTGTTTGAATTGTTTATTTAAAAAAAAGCAGTTACTTGTTTTAAGTAATATAAATCATTGCAAAATTCGATAAAATTACGTAATAAAAATATTTAGTAATTTTAAAATTTGATTAAAACACAGTTTTGAGCAAGTTCTAACACACATTAGCAGGATGAAAGTAGTTTAACATATGTTTCATTGACCCATGTTCTGCGCTTGAATACTGTTTAAACATAAGCGACACATTTCAATTTCACAAAAAAAGTGTTTTTAAGTCTAATTTCTATTTAAAATAATGTACATATATAGGAAGATTTTATTTTTAAAAAAAAAAAACATCTGGAACAAAAGATATAAAAATAGAAAAAAAATATTTACATATAATACGCTTTAATAACGTAGCATTTTTAAGTTAAAAAGAGAATGTCTTGAAAATTGTCTGAAAGAATTAGCATAAAATATGTTTCTTCTTCCAATCTCCGAAGTTAATAAAAATATAAAACTGTCGAAATCAGAATGTTACTTAAAAAATTGCTTATTTGAAAATTTTCAATAATTTAAGTCAGTCTGTCAAACATTCTGAGATGTGTCCTTAAAGTGATAAAATTTTACAGACGGAAATCGTTTGCGTTTAGATAGATGATTATTGGAAACTGGCAACTTTAAAATATGATTCTAAACTCCGTTATTATTGGCATAAAAATGTCACTTTTAATAACGCTATTTTGGATGTTTCAACTCGCATACTAGGAGGATTCTTACAGTACAGTTCATATTGGAGATTTGGCATTCATTTGAAATTTTAGATTTAAATTGGACTTTTATGGGGAAAAAGCAGACTCGAGCAGAAATGTTATTGCTTAAAAAATTCTTCTTGTGACTATAAACTCAATAAATCAAAGAATTATTTTGCATTTTTTTTTGAAGTTTCTGAATAAATACTCAGCTTTAAAAGGAAAAAACAGAAAAAAATTTCAAAGATATTCAAGAAAAGAGGACATTAAAGGAAAATTCTAAAAAGCTAAACTAATCTTTGAAGTATTGTTTGTCGTTAATATTTCAAAATTTTTGAATGTCAGTAAAATAGATAATATTAGTATTTCTTAAAACATCGTTTCGATAGGTACGAATATACATCAATTTTATGATTTTCTTTCTTTTTTTTTTGTATTTTCAAACACAACATTTGTAAAAAAAATACACAGAAAAAGTGGGGGAACAAGTCACCTAACATAAGATTAAAAAAGGTTGAATCAAGTTTAAGGTATGTTTTTATTTTTTCCGTACATCATTTTCTTGCAATGAAGTAAAAGAAAATGAAGATTTTGATTAAGTTTAAAATTTAGTGAAATTATCTAGAAACGGAATGAAGTAAATAACAAGTACAAAAAGGGGAAATCAAGTTGCAATGCTTTTAAAAAGAAATTTTTGTCTTCATTAATACTATCCAGGGCCCGCCCGCGCTAGGGATTTAAAATTATTAACCAGTAAATTAGCCAAATATCAAAAGTAATCATCAATTTTCGAAAGTCTTTGCCAATTGCAAATCTTAACGATTTTTTTATGATTAATTTTTTTCCTTAGGAAACTATTTTACTGTAGTTTGCTTCAGGCTTATATTATTCTGATCGAATATTAATAGGTTATGTGGCGCATCTACCGAAAATTACTGTAATCGAATAAAAAAAATACTGATTTGTTTACAAAAATTCATTTTGACGTCATTCTGAGGTTTCAGTTAAATATATAATTTTTTTTTCAGCAGGAAAATTCATTCGCCAATACTTTCACCGAAACGCAATTTTATTCACCAAATTTACGATTTTATCGCATTTGGAACTTAGATAAAATTGAAAATTAAGATTACATGAATAATTTTTAAATCCCTTATGAAACAATTTATGTACAGGAAATATAATCAACGAGAATTATTTTAACTTCCGAAAACACCGCTGTTGTAGAGCTTGGAATATAATCTTTAGATTGTTTACATTTACACACCTGCCAACTTCTACGGTCGTTGAAAAAGATTTTACAAAGTGGTAGTAAAACAATTAAGTTTGGAAGAAATTTCTAAAAGCATAACTATTGAGAGATCTATAAACATAATTAGCCAACCAATAAATCTTATCTACATATTTTTTTAAAGTTATTTATTCGTCGTGGTAATTTATAAATTTTTGTTGATGCTTTAAATTTCAAAATTTAATACACCAAAACGCTTATGTTGCTACCACTAATTTATAATTTTTAATAAAAATTATTTCTCAACGGCAGTCTAAGTTGGCAGCTATTCATTTGAATACAAGTTAACGTGAGTTAGTGAAAGCCCTCGACGCTGCCAACCAAAATATAAGATTGTCGTTAAAATATACATATATTTTTTTTGCTATGTACTTAGAATAATTACATTTTAATTATTAAATCTCTGAACTAAGAGATTCCACTTCCGCTCTGGTAAGCCTATATTTCGAATTCGTCAATATATTCTCTTTATGCTGCGCGTCTGTTTGATTTACAGAATAATTTTATTTTTGGAATTAGTGAAAATGTTACGGTGAATGATCGAAATTGGTGATTGTTGACTTCCACCAGTGAATGTTGTAACTCACATAGTCGATTTGGTAAGTGTCCGAAATATATACTAGGTCTAGTTACGTGCCACTGCTCTGTACACATTTGCCCGATATACCCTACACTGATGTTTTTTAAGATTCAGTGCCTTTGCCCGGTATGCCCTACATCAATGTTTTTTTAAGGCCAAGTGCCACTTCCCAGTATGCAATTAACAGGTACTCCGAACACTGATGTTTCTCCCAATCAATCCTCAGCAGATATTAAAATATCGAATAATTATAATGATATCAACGAATAAATTAATATCAAACCGGATGTGGCAAATATTTCTGACATTCACCAAAGCGACTATGTGAGACACTCACCAGTAAAAGTAGACATTCTTTTGATATCGCGGTCATGCACAGTAACAAATACATATACATTCCAAATTAATAATTCTTTCTTTATAGTGTAGGTACCTTAATAATTATTTTATTGACTCTTATATGTATGATAAGTAATCTTATGTTATGTATCTCATGTAATCTTACCTCATGCATCTTATCTTTAAGATGGTAATTATAAATGTTAGTGCTACTGAATTCAAAAAACTTGCTTAACATCAAGTAATGTACAAGAGCATTCTTGGTGTAGTAGAACACTTATAAGAGCACCACTTTGGTATCGAAATTAGTTGCCACCATTTTTGTTCTAAAGATACATAAAAACAATTTTACAGTGTAAAAAAAATTTTCTGCGCAAATATTTTTTACTGGAAGTGTTTAGAAATACTGCATAATTCAAATATACTTTCTTATCGCTTAATTTTTTGTTGATACTAATTCCGTGAAAATCATTTTTTTTTTTTTATTTTATTCTAGTGGGATCTTGTATGTTCCAGACGATGGTTTCCTGTTATACTTCTGACAGCATTTAATGCTTCAAATTTTATTGGACAGTGTGTTTGCCTGCTTATTGCAAAGAAGTAAGTTAAATTTTGATAGTTGTAACTATTCTGTAGCTTATTCATAAATTATAATAAATTAGTAAAAACACTATATTCAATGTTGAATAAGCTATATATTTACAAAATAGTATATTTTATTTAATGTATTTGAACCCACGTTCTTTACTTCCTTAAAATTTCGATGTTTCTTTAACAATGAAATAACAAATATTTTCTGCTTTTTTATGTTAGACTTGAATTAACGGTTTAAATTAAAGCAGTATTTTTAAGCAAACCATGTGATAGCAAACATTTTATTATTTGTAGGAAATTATTAAGATTTCGTTTGGAAACAAAGAAGTTGTTTTAATTTAATTATTTCAAAACCTTACTCATGATTGCATAAAGTATGACTTCCTATGAAGATCAAAAAGACGGTTGTTCCTAGATATGAATAAAGATTGAATATGGTTCTCCATAGATAGAAATTAAATGAATAAAAAATACTTTTTAAATTAGTACTCTAAAAGCGTCTCAATTCTTACATAATGTGACCGGAAAACTTAATTATATGAAGAAGTAATTTTTTTTTTAAAATCAGTAATATATTTTACATCTGTTCTGCATTTAATGAACATAATAAAACAGAAAAGCTTAATTAAAACATGCTTTTTGTGGAAAAATTGAAAATCCTGTATGCTTATTTACACTGCACATTCAATTTGCTTAGCTTATTAATATCAATTTAAGCCTTAGTTTATTATATATATTTTCAGTTTATTAATATAAGCTTATTTATATAAACGTATAACAGATCTTCCTTAGTTCCTATTTTTGAGAATTCAAATATTTATTTTTTGCCCTACATGTACACATTTCGTCAAAATAACATTCCATTAAAGTATCCATTAAAGTAACATTTCATTAAAGTATCATTTAAAGTAACATTCCACTAAAGAAGCAATTAAAGTAACATTCCATTAAAGAAGCATTCCATGAAAGAAGTATTCAATTAAAGAAGTATTCCATTAAAGTATCCATTAAAGTATCCATCAAAGTAACATTCCATTAAAGAAGCATTCCATTAAAGAAGTATTCAATTAAAGTATCCATCAAAGTAATATTCAATTAAATTAACATTTCATTAAAGCAACATTCCATTAATATATTCAGTCACATTAGACTCCTGCTTAATTCCACTAATCAGTACGATGTATATTTTAGCATTTTACGTTCAGACGCCTATTATTACTGTTGATTGTTTAGAAATTTAACTATTTAGCTATTTCTTAATTTTCAAAATATTATAGTGATTCCTCAAGTTTTATCAATACTTTAACAAAAAGTTTATAGTTGAAAATATTTTCACAAATTTTGCATGCCCACTTACTTCATTGGAATTAAATTTCTTTTAATTCAATATAGTCAACATCTTGTGACTAAAAAAAAAGTCAGGACTTCGTGCGGAGATCAAAAAGACCACGGTTCTAAATTATGAATAAAGGGATAATATCGCTTTGGAAAATAAAGTGAAAAAGAAATCTTTTCAAATTCATACTTAAAATTATCTCAGTACTTGAAAACTTGAAAGGAAATTTAATTATATCAGAAATAGCATTTTTTTAAAACAAAACCAGTAATATTTTTTTACATTTGTGCTGCATTATATGGGATGGAGACTTCTTTATGCATTTCGCTAAAGCATTTGATTTGTTATACATATTAATCAATGAAATGTAAAATTGTTTTGTAATTCATTTTTTGGAATTCAATTGACATTTATATTCTGTATTACTTGTCCACATTACATTAAAGTATTTTCTGCCACATTACACTAGAATCCACTTAATTTCAACATATTTAACTTACAAATCTCCGCTTTTGATACCTATTGTTATTTAAATATAATAAACTTCTAGTATTAACCGTAATTTTTAAAATATCAACATATAGTCGTTCTTTAAATTAAAGAGCAATAATTTAACTCGAATCCTGAAATAAAGAATATTATCAAATTGCTAAACATACTCACTTCATAAAATTAAGAAATTTTTTTTAATTTTATCCCGTCATAATCCTGTTCTTTATTACGTACAAAATGCGGATCGATATCAACGTAAAGGCTAAAGAAAGAATATAGCTCTTGAAAATACGTCGTAGGGAATTAAAAAAGTCTTTTCAAATTAATACTTAAAATTATATCAGTTCTTGAAAACGTGACCAGAAATTTAATTACATCAGAAAAAATCAGCTATACTTTTTACATCTGTGTTGCATTTGCTTTATTTTTTAACGATAAAAAAAATCATTAAAAACTATTGTTTTTATGAGAAAAAGAAAACTTAACAAAACCATTCTTTTTGTAAAAGAATAAGATTCCTTTATGCATTTCTTTAATTAAAACTTGACTTATTATTTACACAGCGTAATTCTATCAATTTGTTTCAAATATTAAGATAAACTAATCAATGAAAGGGAAAATTGTTCCGTTGCACTAATTTAATGAAACAAATCGGTCTTCTTACAATTAAAACTGATTTAACAAGCACTCACCCAGTACAAATCATGCCTAGATTAAAATGATAAGATTAGGAAATAGAATGATTCCCAGTTTGTTTTTTTGGAAAAACTTATTTCATTAAATGTAAAGTCACGTAGTTATCTTTGATTAATTAGAAACTTCAATAGTTTTTTTTTCCTTCTGAGATTTATTTTTCGGAAAGTGATTCTTTTTTAATATTGTAGAATTAGATTTCGAAATGCTTTTTATGAGTGGTACAAAACAATTTTGTTTTTTGTAACACACCTAAATAATTCTTTTATTTAATAAAACTTTATTCTTTTTAGTCATATCCTCTAGCTGTAACCAATGCATTTTTTAAGGACACGCATTGTTTTTTTTATATATA